AATATTCATCGACAAAGCAAATCAACTTGCTCCAAATTGCGGGGGGGAAGTTCGCTGAGGTCTAAGGCCGTAGCTTGTAAGACAAGAGTGTGAATCCTTTTGCAATCGCTTGCTGTGAGAACAATGCAGTACAATGAAGACAGTGCTTGTGCAAGAAGAGTTGCGTATAGTCAACTGACGTGCCAGATATATATCTTTGGAGTGCGTTGAAAGCCCCTGTAGCAACAAACGCAAGGAAAGCTCAACAGGTGGAGTTGGTACTTGTTTGAGAGGGGGCTGGGGGTAGCGCAGCCCCCGTGGTCCCTACCCTAGCAGCCCAAACGCAGGCCAACATCTAACAGCTTAAACGCTGGTGCAAACCAAATTTCGGCACACGCTATAGCGCCAAGTTGCAAGCTTTAAATACAAATGGAACTTGGAAGGCAGACCGAAAAACTTGTCTGAGGCCTGCGAATTGAATTGAGGGGTGCGCCGAGGAAACGGACACCCAGCAAAGAGCGAAAAACAAAATAAAACTTTGCTTACCAGAATTCACTTGCACAGCCCATATGGCTGTAATATGAAGCAAGCTTTTGGGTGAAGCTTGGAAGTAAGAAGCAATGATGCTTAGCTTGAGAACCGCAGCCTGAAGCTCAAGACTTAGAACTATGAGCGGGGCAGTCGTGGTCGTCCACGACAGCAGCGAGGAGGACGGTTCTGCTTTGCGACCAGAAATTCTTCAGCGTTCGACGAGAAATAATGATTGCGCTGCCGCAGGAGCCGCTCCGGCCGCGGGCCAAGCTGACGGCCGCACCGCCCGAGGCGAGGCCCCGAGCCAAGGAGCGAGCGGCCAAGGCCTGATGATCACCGACATTCGCCATTAATCTCTGCTGATATAACGCACGCCAGGTGAGCGCTGCGAGAGTGGAAGGGGGGGGCGCTCCCCGCCCCAAACGCCCCGGAGGCACATTGCAAGGCCAAGGCCAAAAAATAACGCTCGTGGCTCATTACTAGTGATGTTGGTCCGAAGGCCGGACGGCTGCAGCCACCTCACCTCCTCACGGCCAGCCGCGTGGAGGAGGCGATGGCGGCCCAAAGGAAACTCGCAACAAACGCGACGTGATTCGAAACCCGGCCAGGCTGCAGCGGACGCGACTGCGCGTCGCTTCCTGAGGGCGAGGAATCATCCACTGTAGGTCGGGATAGCTTAATCGTTGGAGGGGTAGCTGTTCGAAAGATCGAAACACAGGTCTCACCCGAACCAAGAATGGCGCCTGAAGGTCCTCTGACTGTAATTTCCTTGGACGGCCCAGACACAGCAAACCATTGGTTGCTGGATCCAGCTGGGAAAGGCTAAGCCTGGGTTGATGATGGTTGATGCATGAGCCCTCCCAGGCTTTGCGCCTGTGAAAAGGATCGAAAGGGCGAAAAGCACGAGATGAGCAATAGACTATAACTTGTGGGATCTTGTGGGTGTACCAGTGGATCCAAGTTACTACTATATAAGGCATCAGAGTTTCGTTTGGTCTATGGCTTTTCTCTTTGGAACCGCTGGCTACCAGTGACATCTTGGTTTGCCTGGATTATTCTGGGGGTAGTAACTGGCCATGCGATCCATGTCCATGACTGGAGGGTCCGGAAGAGGTGGTTTTTTATTGAAATATGCCATGCCAACACCGAATTAATCACCCCCCCTTCAATTTCAACAAGAACAAGAAGGTCTGAGATTGGAGGTATTGGAGACCACACCCCCTAAAGAAAGGTGATGACCTGATGATGAATGATGAGATGATGAGCTGGACCTGATGATGGATGATGGTTGATGGTTGTGGGTGTATGGACTGCAATGTGACGTGTGGAAATGTACAGCCTATTGGATGAGGAGGGAGGGGGGATGCTGGGGAGGAAGATCCCATAGGAGTATACATATTATACATTGGCTGCACAGATTGCTGCAGGTAAGGATTAGAAGAGCAAGGAAGATGAGAAGATTAAGAAGAAGGATGATTGATGGATGAGAGGATCAGCATGGGAAAAGGGTGGATCATAATGCTATCTCTCAAAAAGATGGCATGAGAAAAGGGTGGATCAGAAGATCAGTTTCACCATGGACCAGAAGATGTTAGATACTAACCAAAAAGAAAGTCAATAGTAGATAACATATAACACCTATTTCTGGGCAGCTGGGCTTGATTAATAGGGGGAGATTTCTGGCAAGGACAAAAAATAAGGGGATATCGATGTGGACATTTGGAATTTAAAATTAGTTGAGTAGTCGCGGCTCGAGCTGGGATTGATTCATAAGGGAGGTTTCTTAATCCTGTGCGCATTACAGTGTTCAATTCTTCAACTTCCCACTTCCCCAACAACACACTACCACTTCTCATGGTCACTCCTTTATAGTTTTTTGGTTGTGAGCTCGTGAGCTAGATCCAGGACAGCTTCGACGACGACGCCCTGCGCGACACCTTAAAGAAGGTTCGTTTGCAAAAGCCGCGACACCTCAGAGTGCTGCGTACGATTTTGCCGATTCAAGAGGATGGGTTTGGTGGTTGGGAGATGTGAAAACATTTGGACCCGATGTTTTGTCTTCAAAAAATGCGGGGTGGAACCTTCTGACCTGCTTGGACTCTGGGATTGGTGATGGGTGATGATTCCAAGTGGCCATACTTCCGCCACAAGGAAAAGGTTGGTTTTTCAGTTTGTGAGTTCATTAGCGATTGTGCTGGATCAGAGATGGAACGGGGGTACGGCTGGAATAGTGGCTGGAATAGGGCAATTGAGTTTTGAGAAACATCATGTGCTCCAAACATGCATGGTGCAGGCAGGTAGCAGATACATAAAGTGTTGTGACAGGTAGAGCTAACATTTGAAAACCACTACATTGGTGTTTGCAGATGTACCAAATTGCAAACTTGGACCCCAGACACGAGTCGCTGTTGTGGGGAGGTAGAGTCCCTGAATTTAGACCCAACATCCTGACACGGAGTTTGCCAAGATCGATCCTGCAGTTCAACTAAAACAGGTCAATGATGGAACCCAGGATATTGTTGATCAAAACAAAGTTTCTCTTGACTGGATCTTCATTGGAATACGGACATCCCATGGAGAGACCTGGAGACCCCCCCAGCATTCTCTAGAAGGGGTTCTAGTGATGATTTATGGCTGCTCGTTTGGGAGTGCGTTGAAGTGGGTATGATTTTGGGGAAAGACTCCCAGGAAGAGGAACTTCATTTGATGTCATCCAAAACATGGGCCAGGAGGGTCTCCCACTTGCAAGACCAATTGGAAAGACCTTAACCCCCAGCCTGGGGGGCACCTACATCGCACATATTATTATATCGATTCTATATTCGTGGTGCCAGGGGGGTCAATGGGGCGGCAGTCCTATGGCAGTCCCATGGAGTGTATGGGACTTGTTCAATCCCCCGACCTCGGAGTGCTCGGATTTCGCACCACCCGTCTCACCTCGGGCTCCGCACGGTGCCCTGACCGTCGTGAAACGGACGCGGATCGACGCATGAAGACCTGCACCGGGCGCGGAACGCGCCGCTGAGGTTGGTGGATCGATATCCGGACCTGGGCGTGAAACAGGCGAAAACGACCGGAGAGAGAGAGCGAGAGAGAGAGGGAGAGGAAGACGAAGACGACGGGGAGAGCAGGCGGGAGACCTGAATGTGCTTTTTGTTTGGGTTCCAAGTGTGTGTGGAGTCAGCAAGTATTGTCAGTGATGTGGTCCTGGTATTATGTCCAACCAGAGTATGACTCCCACTAGTATACACACATATATCAGTTATATATGTCAGCAGAAAGTTCTACTGTAGTGGAAGCGGTTCATAGGTTGAATTTTCTCGGGCAGATACGGTTGTTTGGCACTCAACGTTTAGAACACGGAGGCTTCGAAGAAAGTGTTCTGGCTCGAACGAACTCTTCGACTGCTTAACTTGATCTCATCCGAATACCGAACACGGAGGCTTTAGACAGTTTGAACATGCAGCGTGTCCTTTTGGGGCACTGTTGGGCTGTTTCTTTAGTATCTATAGGGCCATTTGGTTGTTCATTCAAAGTCACTGGAGTACTTACTTCTAGTCTCAATCACTGTTTCTCAGGATGGCCGTGGCCAGAATGATAAGCTTTTTGTTACTCATGCTCTTGTTACAAGTAGCTTCTTGTTACTAGTAGTAATGCACTTGTTACTAGTAGCGATGCACTTGTGACTAATGCATTTCTTCCCTTGCAATGTGTGTCAAAAGCTCAACACGTGCTCTTGATTTGACATTTTAAGGTCTAGGTGACTAGGTGTTGCATTCAACATGAACTGCAAGCATTCCTCACGGGCACCAAGGGCTACTACTAGTACATCACAAGAAGCCTAGAATGGAGTTTAGCCCTGTACAGTGGGTATAGAATCCCTTTTTCTTGGTGGTTCGTGACCTAAATTTAAACCCTCAAGACCATGCTGACACTTCCAGGACTGGCCCCGCTTGTTGTCCTTGGGTGAACAGCAGCGCTTGGCCTTTGCCCGGCTCTTGCTGAATGCGCCACGCTTTGCGGTCGCCTGGACCTGGGGAAGACTTGTGACTTGGGGGATGGAATTTTCTGGAGGCAACCACCAACAACTCCAAATAACTCCAACCAACCAACCACCCTGCGGCGTTTTGTCGCATCCCTCGAAGAGGAGTCTCTTTCGAACTGCGTGATCCAGGGGCGTTTGGGTAGTGGCTGGGTGAAACGGACTGTTTCAAAGTCATCCTGGGGCCCGCAAAAATCGGATCGACCTTTCGCTTCAACCTCGTGATGTGAATTCTCATGGCTCCGACGTTCTACCGGGCTCGTCCAGGGTCCCAGGTACCTCCGACCACGATGTCCGACTTGGCTCCAAAGACCTTTCTGTCCCAACATGCTCACCTCCAAGACCATCGGAATTTCGGAAGTACCTTGACCGTCAACCTATGAGAAACCCATCTCGTGCCATCCACGTTCGGCATCGCGCACAACGTTCGGCATCGTGAGAACCACACACTCATCGGCTGGACCGTTGTTTCATCGTACGTGGTCGTTCTCCGTCGTACGGCCTGTCGACGGCGTCGGCCTGTCGAGCCATCGAAACCCGAAGACCAGCACCAGAGCCTAAGAGATTCACTGGGAGAACATCAGAGCCCTCCAGTTGGGCAGTTGGACACTCCATCTTCAGCATTCGCTCCGATTGCTGACTCAGGCTGACCAACAAAACAGCTCACAACAAGCACGCCCTTCCAAACCATCCACAAGAACCAGTCCCAGTGCCAGAGTCCCCCCATCGTCCCACTCTGTCTTGGGTCACTTGGGGAGTTTTCCAGGCTTTTTTTGTTTGTTTAAATTACCTGGACCTTCAAGGCCAATGTAGGTCCCTTAGTAGTGTAGGGACTTTTAATGGTGACCCCTTTAAATGTGCAATGTCCACGGTCAGGACATCGCTCGGGCGTCTTCGCCCGATGTGTATCGATCCGAGGTTCTGGATGAGGCGACCAGCGCACTGGATGTGAACACTGAGAAGTTGCTTTACCAGTGCCGAGCCCGAGAAGGGGAGAGAAGGGGGCGCTGGACCTGCAAAACCGTGTGGTTGTGTCCAAGAAAGACTGCCAGAAAGATTGCAAGAAAGCTTGCATGTGTTGGTAGTCTCTTGATTCTTTGAGTCTTATTGCTTCCTCTTTTGCTGAGAGACCGTGTTTTGGTACATGTGCTCTTCATATCCCATGCATTCGCCCTGCAGTCGCCCGCGCCCTGCGGTTTGACCCCAGGATCCTGGTGGAACGGGGCGTGGCGGTCATCAGCGGCTCAGCTCACGTGAAGAGGGCGGTTGTTGTATCTCAAGAGGTGGAGCAGTTCAAGCCCACCCAGAGTCTGTTGCCATGATTACCTGAGCTACTGTTTTTTGTTGCAGAAAGACTGGTCGTTCCTTTTCCAAGGGACCGCCGCACTAAAAACGAGACGAGACTTATAATGCAAACTTTATTAATTATTATAGTTATTTTTTATTTTAATCATTAAATATGATACAAAAGAAACATGGCTTCCAGCTTCATGGCGTGTCTAGAAGAACAGGCATGTCTAGAAGATACCCTCAGACCTGTCAGAACCTTCACACGCTCCGCCTGTCGCTGAGGCGTGGGACATCGTCCCACCTTAGCCGAGTATCACGACCAGGTCGGAGTGAAAACGGGTGTCGTGTATCTTGGCATGTCGTGTTTTCATCATCGGATTCCACGAACTTCGCCGCGACGAACTGGTTGATTGTGGAGGAAAGACGGCCTTTCTGAATGGCCTCCCGGAGCTGGTCAGTGGACAAAGAGCTGGTCTTTCCCAGACCAATCGGACTGGAGGAGTTACATACATGTATCATCATTGATGAATGACCCGTCCATGTCCGGCTCATTGGTCTGATCTAAATAGTGGTTCTTTTCGCCCGATCTCCGGTGTCGCTTCGTTTCTGCTCGACCTTCGTCGAACAGTGTTGTTGTTTTCATGTCCTCTTGTCAGTGCTGGTCAGTGCAGGTCCTAGTGCTGGTCAGTGCAGGTCCTAGT